GGGGCCGCGGCCGAGGCCGGGGCCGGGACGGGCGGCCGCGGCGCCATGGCCGAGTCCCAGCTGAGCTGCCTGGACGAGGCGCACGTGAACGAGAGGGTGACCGAGGCGCAGGCCGCCTTCTACTACTGCGAGCGGAGGCGGGCCGCGCTGGAGGCGCTGCTGGGCGGCGGCGAGCGGGCCTACCGCGAGCTGGTCAAGAAGGAGCAGCTGCGGGACTTCCTCTCCAGCCGGGAGCAACAGGCCCTCCGCGCCGCCTGGATCCCCTACGAGGACGCCGCCGCCGCCGCCAACGCCGCAGCCCGAGGCAAGAGCAAGGCCAAGGCGAAAGCCCCGGCGCAGGCCCCGGCCGAGCCCTGCGAGTCCCTGGCCTACTGGCCCGACCGCTCCGACACCGAGGTGCCCCCGCTGGACCTGGGCTGGACCGACACGGGCGTCTACCGCGGCGTGAGCCGCATCACCCTCTTCACCCACCCGCCCAAGGAGGAGAAGGCGCCCCATCTCAAACAGGTGGTCAGGCAGATGATCCAACAGGCCCAGAAGGTAGGCCCCGCCCCCCCCCACCGGTGGGACACCCCACTCCCGGGCAGCCCCTTGGACCAGGCCCCACCTCAGAAGCAGGGCCTGGGGCAGGACTTCCTGACCACTCTGGAAAATGGGCCCAGAACCCTCCCTTAAGTCGAGGGGCTGGTGAGGCCTCTAAAGAGGATGGATGGGGACGTGTTTGGCAAATCACAAGGTGCTGGACAGTTGTCATTATTACAGTGTCCAGAGGGGCTGGCTTTCCTCCGCTCTGTGCTGCTTTTTCCCTGTCAGGTTCCTCTCTGTAGGGAAGAGTGGGGGCTGTGGGGCTTTGTGGTACAATGGGCCTCTCAGAGGTCTTGATAGTAACCCATGTGCTGCCCAGGGATTTACAAAACCTACCCCAGGCCATTTTCTCATTTGGTCTTCAATCAACCCCGGGAACTGCGTGGTGGGACTTCCCCATCCCTACCCCAGCCATGCTGTTCCTAGGAGGCCCCCCAGGGACAAGACAGGGCTAGCATTCACACCCCCTTGGGGGCCAGTACTAGAAGTCAAGCAGCCTGGATTAAATGAAGAAATGTATTTTGGGCACCTACTATGTGCCTGGCTCTGTGCTGGCCACTTTGACAAGGCGCATCACTGGACTCAACAAGTGGGGTTGGGGGTCAGGCAAGCTCTCACTTACTGTGTCTCTCTGCTTGGGGGTTGAAAGGAGGAGATGTTTCCAGAGTGGCTAGTTAGAATACTGGTGGACCAGTAGGTTGTGGGGCAGGGGGAAGAATTTAATCTTTACTCCGTGCCCTTGCCTAGGGGCACCTTGGGTCGGGTTTCCAGGTAAAACAGGACATCCTGTTAAATTTGAATTTCAGATAAACAACAAATAATTTTTAGTATTAGTATGCCTCAAACATTGCATGGGGCATACTGATACTAAGATGTTCTTTGTTGTTTGCTGAAGTTCAAATTTAATGGAGGATTCTGTATTTTTATTTGCCAAACCTTGTTCCCCCACACAGAGATTTGTTAAGAAGCACCAGCAGCCTTTAGTGCCCAGTGCAGAATATACAACAGGAGTGGCTTGGGCTCACCCTTCTAATTCAGCTCAGTGGATGTGGTTGAGTCCTGTTACCCCTGGAGGCTGAAGTGGCCTGGGAGGGAAGACCAGCCCAGAAAGACCAGTGGTGACGCTCCTCTTCCTGGGAGGGGTGATGCAGGTTGTTGGCTAGACTGGCTGCCAGGAGGAAGCATTAACTTTTCACTGTCCATGCTTCCACCCTCCCTCTCTAAGAAATTCCTCCTTATTTGCCTGAGCTTTCTTTGTATACTGCATCCTGCAAAAGAGAGAGGCAAATTTGAGAAGAGATGGAGAAAAGACAAGGATGACGATACTGTGCAGCTGGGGTAAGGGGTCAGGTCTCATGCTGCAATACTAAAAGCCTTGATTTGTTAGCACTTCCTATGTGCCAGGCACTGTGCTAATAATTGACTTTCATCTTCTCTTTTGCTTTTCACGACAACTCGGCGAGATGGGTATTTGCCTTTTTTGTTTCAGAACAGTTACTTGCCAAAGGTCACAGAGCAAGTAAGTGGCTGCTCCAGGATTCGAAAGCCAGAGTCCTTGCTCTGAATCACTGTGCCATCCTGCCCTGCTGTCTGGTGGAGTACGGCAGGGTTAACCCAAGGGCCTTGAATGGAGCTAGCCTGGTCACAACCTGGGGTACAGGTTGTGTGCCCCTGTTACAAAAAGGGAGAGGCAAGACCCCTGCCCATTGGGGCTGCTAGTCCCCCGTCGGATGTCAGGAGTCTCCTGTGTCATGCAATGTTCTTAGCTCTTTAAATATTTAACAACAGAAACTTTAACAATTGTGAACGAGTCCAGTATATACATATTTACCTAGTCATTACTTCCTGAGTGCCCACTGTGTGCCAGGCTCCGGCCATAGAAGGATATAAGCTGTGGTTTTTGCCCTCAGTTAACTCAAATACCGGGGCATGTGCTGGAAGGAAAAGCATTTTTTTGAGCCTAATCTGGGAGGGCTTCCTGAGGGAGGTGAATTGCACGGTTGAAAGGGGAAAGAGAAGGAAACTGGAATGGGCAATTTCTCCATTAAGAAACTTGGGAGCAATGGGCGCCTGGGTGGCTCAGTTGGTTGGGCGACTGCCTTCGGCTCGGGTCATGATCCTGGAGTCCCGGGATCGAGTCCCGCATCGGGCTCCCTGCTCGGCG